TTTGCATGTGGCCTTTGTTTTGCATTTAGAAAACTTGGCTTGTCTGATGCAAATGGTCGGCAAGCATTTTCAGTCAAAATGTTTAAGATTTTTTTTAACATGTTTTTTTTCTTGATTGCAGGTTACCATCCAAGGTTTCCGTAGTTATCGGGACCAAACTGAAGTAGAACCTTTCAGCTCTAAACACAATGTCATAGGTTTGTATTATAAGTGTTTTGTATACTGTATTTACTCTAGTATAGTAGTGCATTCTCTGATGTAAGTTACTGAGATGTGTTTATGGATAAATTTGTTTAAGGATCTGATAAATAATATATGCAATTTTGGGTTAGCTTGAACTGGAGATGTTTCTTAATAATAAAACAAGTACGTTATACGAATACATGTACATGGAATAATTGTAAATTATTATAAAGTGTTTCAGTGAGGTTTAGTAATCACCTGTCAGTGTTCTCCCCAGGCCATTTTAGCGCCGCGGCCCCCGGCGCTATCAAATATTCCCCCGGCGTTATTCATTCTTCCCCGGCGCTATTGTCTCGGGCGTCGCGATGTGATTACCACCATCATACTAGACAGACAGACCTGTTTTACTTCCTGCACATGTTGGGGCTTTCATTACTGTCAAACAAAGGTCGATACTATCTGTGAGACGGCGTAATTAACACCTCTGTCGGCAGTGTTTCTTTGGCACTCCCGGGCGGAACTCCCGTAGCCACGTGGTGGCTGTTCACGCATTAGGCATACCTGTATTCAAAGGCAAAACCCTTCACACGATTTAAAAGAAAGGGTACATTATGAAGATGAATAATCTGTGAATTCCTTTACAATGAATTTTAAAAATATAAAAAGGGTTGATGTTCGTCAGCGATCAGATTGTACCTTGCCTTCGCATCGTAAACACGCTCTCGAGATCGCCAAACATGCAGAAAGAAAATCAGTGTCCGCGTCCCGATCTCCGATCATGGTTCACGTCGCCGTCTACTCCAACGAAACGCAAGCAAGATGGGCAATCTAGTTCCAAATTACGAGAAAGTAAAAAAAGAAAGACGGGTTTTGACAAGTTGTGGTTGACATCGTTTGAATGGTTACGACAAACTCCAGACGAAAAAGGTATGGAAAAAATATTTCAATCAAGTCTCGAGGAATGGCAGCATAAACAAACAAGCAAATGGGGTTAAAGGTCGGGCCTTGTGTTTTCAATCGATTCGTTCGGCGACCATTTTGTGTTTCGCTTCTATTTATTTTCATTTGCCGATCACAACAATGATTTATAATGTTGATTATTTTTGGCAAAAACAGGTATGTTGTGTTTTATGTGTGGAAAACACGGAGTAAGAGCAAGAAACGGATCTGACGTCTGGATTAAGACGCCATGCACAGCGTTGGAAAAACAGAGTATTGTGCGACACGTGAAGTCGGACATGCATAAACTCGCCGAACTAAAAGAAAAGAAGGCGAAATTATCTGACGTAAACGGCGGAATTATAGCAGCAATGGATCGTCATATAAATATGGAGAGACAATCGTTTATTTCTGCCCTTAGATGTATGTACTGGATCTGCAAAAACGAAGTAGCACATACAACGAAGTTCAGGCCATTGCTTGATTTGGTGAAATCCTTTGGTGGTTCATGCTTAGAACACTTGAACAAGGTAAATTGTTTTTTAATCATTTTTTTTTTTATTATTCCGCTTTTCTTATTTCTAATTTCATTTAATTAATTGCACTGATTATTCCAGGGTGGTAATGCCAACTACATGTCAGAAAGGATAATTCAAGAGATGGTGGATGTCTTGGCTCAGGTCATTGAAAGAAGAATTTATTCTGATATCAGAGAAAGTCCCTTTTATAGCCTCATGGTAGATGAAACCACAGATATATCAATACTCAAACAACTGATTATGTATGCCAAGTATACTGATAAAGAAGGAAATGTGAGTACTTTTATTATGTTTGAAGACTGAGCACTTGTAAAAAAACTATTTTCCAATGTACTTAGTAATTAGTTTCTTTGCTTTTGTACATTAATTTTAGTATTATGCAAAACCTACTGATGTTTTTTTTGTAGTGTAATAAAGAATCATTATTTTCAATGATTATAAATGTTGTTGTAACTATATACAAGTGATTGCATTTTTATTTTACAGGCAAAAACATCATTTGTCCACATATCAGATATTTTTGATGGAAAGGCTGAGACTATAGAAACGGCAATTGTTAATTTCTGTGAGAAGAATATGTTTCTTTTAAATTCCAAAATGGCAGCACTGGGCTCTGATGGAGCATCTGTTATGGTTGGCAAGAGAACAGGGGTGATTACCTTTAATTTATTATTCTAGTGATATACATGTTTCTTGTATCAAATTATATTATGTAATATACAATTCAACTGTGTGATTTTGAGTTGTTTTTAACATCATTTTTGTTGTTGAAATTTTAGGTTGCAACCAGACTTAAAGAAAGAAATCCAATTCTTATTAATGTACATTGCGTAGCCCATCGACTTGCACTGGCAAGTTCTCAGGCCATGGATAAAATAAAATATCTTCACAGAATATCAACAACTCTCCAACAGCTATACTATTTTTATCAAAATTCTTCAGTCAGAATGTCAGGTTTAAAGGAGATTGAGGTAAATGGTTGATTGATGTTTTATTTTTTTTAATTTATTGTGTATGTGTTTGCAGTTGTTCAGTTATTAAAATAAGCTTTGCTTAATAGTTTTTGATTTATTTTATCACAGTCAGTATTAAATGAACCCCAGATCAAGTTGAAGGAGGCCAAGTCAGTGAGATGGCTATCTCATCAGCGTGCCATTGATGCCATTAGAAAAACATTACCAGCTGTAATAACTAGTTTAGAAAGAGAGGCAGAGGAAAGAGGAGATGCCACAGCACATGGTTTATCTATATTTTTGAAGCAGTATAACTTTGTTGCTGCAGTTCACATGCTGTCTGATATACTGCCACATCTGACAAGACTTTCACTGATATTCCAGGTAATTTGATTTCTTTTATTTTTCATCCTGTTGGCTCAGAGGAGACAAGAAAAAAATACAGTACAATTGTTTGGAGCATTTTATTACATGTACATGTTGATACTGACAAACATGTACACATATTAACACTACTGCATGTTTTTTTGTTTTTTTTTCAGAAGAAGAATGTTGATCTGTCAATTATTGAGCCAGTACTTCATTCAACCATTGTCACTCTTCAGCAGATGAAAGATAATCCTGGTGCTCACATGCAGGCAGTAGATGGCAGATTGACTGGTGACTTGGCAATTCATGACATAAATGTTTCTGATAATATGAAAGATTCTTTTATAACTAATGTAAGTACAATAGTGTGAATGTCATGTCTTATTCAGAATTCCTTAATTCATCTACTGTAATCTTTCTGACAGAAAACAATAGTCATAATTGTTTACTCGTTTATTTTACAGGTTTACCACAAATATATTGATGGGCTCATTGTTAATTTGAGAGAGAGATTCCCAGATGTTCACTTACTACAGGCATTCAGTATATTTGATCCAAGCTTACTAGAAAAAGATGACTCTGGCAGATTAGATGACACACTTCAACAACAGCACTTAGAGGTGATTATTTAATGCAGTACACAATGCAAATATATGAATGGTTAATTTTCATGAATTATAACAGGGTTTTATCTGTTTTTATTTCAGACACTATCAACCCATTATAGTGATATTTTATCTAGTGAAGAGATGGCTAGGGAGTGGGAAATGATGAAAAATTTAATGGTGGATGACCAACACAGCAGTTTTACTTGCACTCAGATGATGAACAAAGTGGTGAAGCAATATAAAGATGTATTTGTAAATTTATACAAGTTGGCTGTTATAGGATTGATTGTTCCAATGAGTACTGCAGGTGAGTTCATTAACATAAAAGCTATGATGTATAAAAATTATAATTATTCAAACTTTTTTTAGGGTTTTGAGATGCACAATATTAAAATGCATTTTTTCTTTTAATATTTTCAGATTGTGAAAGGGGCTTTTCAGCACTGAGCAGAGTAAAAACAACCCTTAGAAACAGAATGTGTGAAAAGACCTTGAGTAATCTGCTATTCATTACATTAGAAGGACCCCCAGTAGAAGACTTTCCCTATGATGAGGCAGCAAATATATGGGCTAGCATCAGAAATAGACGATTAGATATGTCATCATGATCTATGTTGGATGGAAAACAATTTTTATTAAATACAATTAAATACTGTAAATAAATATTCAGTTATGTGAATAATAAAATTATACCATCAGAAAAAATTGTATTTATTGTGATGTGTTGTGTATATGCAACTTGAAATAGAATATGCAAAATGAGTATGCAAATGAGTATGCAAATAAGCCCCGTACCTATCATTTTTTTCTGGGGAGAACACT